TGAATTCATTCATTCAACAAATAGAAGACTAGCTTACTTTGTTTTCAGTACACGGCCCCTCCAGGCCTCTGCCTGCTCCCCCCACTTCCCTTCTCAGTTAGGATCATCTTATGGACAAGGTGTCCAGGGATGAAGGTGGGAAAGGCTATGGAGAGATGGTTTCCGGAAGCCCCTTCATCTGGAAGGAGATAGGATGATAACACGGCAGGCAACTTTATCTGCAGCCACTGGGCTGAGAGCAAGGAGCCAACTATTAAGGGTCATGGAATTTTTAGTGCCAGAAGGACCAGTCCTACCCTTTCATTTCGCAGACAAGAAAACTAAGGCTCACAGCTGTGGATCCAGAGGCGGTTTGCCCAGGGTCACAGAACTCAGCCAGGACTAGAACTCAGGGTTTCTGAATTCTCTTTCCAGAGCAACCCAGATGCTTTTGTTTTCAAATCTTATCTACCACCAGCCCCTACCTACTCAGTGCTCACAAAAAACAACTTTGAGGAGGCCCAGCTTTATAGCCCAGAGCAGTGATTACTAGTCTGTTCTGGGCTGGGCTGACTTCTCAAGCCGCAGCCTGTTTTCATTCTTTCCGCCTCACCTCTGGCACAGGTGGCTGTACTTTCGCTACAGCAACTCCCAGGTTAGGGAGCAAGCCCTTTGAAATGCCCTTTTTGAAGATGCCAATCCCAGAATCACAATGAGCTTTCTCATGACCTTCCCAAAGGACCTCAGTGGGCTGCTCTTCCCAGCTCGAGGTGAAAGAGTGAGGCTGGGGCTGGGGCTGGGGGATGGTGCATGGAGGAAGCAAGCAAACTAGGTCACCTTTACTTTGCCCATGGGATTCCAAGGCCAGGGAGTGCTTGATGCTCAGTGGCACCCTACCCAGGGCATCCTTCCCTGGGAGTTTCACTCTACTGCTCTCCAGCAGTCTCAAGCAGAGGCCTGACATTACCCAAGACCTTCCTACCCCTCCCCCCCCACCCAGTTTCCATCAGAAGAGCTTTAGATAGGAGTTACAAAACCCATTTCAAGGGTTTGGATGTTAGGAACTAGCTCCTGTAACATTTCCAAACAGATTCATTCAGCACATATTCATTGCCTACTATATACCAGTCACTGTGCTAGGTTTGGGGATGAGCAAAGACAAAAAATGAACAGTTCCTGTCGTCAAATAACTTACGTTCTAGTGGTAGGGAAACAACGCGTACAAAGAAAAACAGTTACAAAAGAGACAAAGGAATCTCTGAGGTGGGGAAGTGTCCTAACAACTAGAATGACGTTGAAATCCAAAGAGGCTGCTTGTAGAAGATGGCACTAAGGTTGAGTTTTGATGGAAACCAGGGACTCCATGAGGGGCTGGTAGGGAAGGAGCTGCCTGACCAAAGGGGGACCGCTTGACCAAGGTCACTGGAATGTCATGCGGGAGGATCAGCAAGTGGGTCAGTTTGGAGAGCATGAAGGAGAGTAATGGCCACTACGCTGGAAAGGTGGGTTAGAGCCACATGGTGAAGGGTTTTAGAATTCAAGAAGAAAAATTTGTATTTTATCTTAAAGGAAGCCACTGGAGCTTCTTGAGCGATCATTAGCTTTTCTCTAGGAAAGGTCCATCCAAAGTAACTTGGGGTGAAAGAACTTTTTGTTGTTGCTTAGTCATTTCAGTCATGTCTCACTCTCCACGACCCCATTAGGGATTTTCTTGGCAGATACTGGAGTGGTTTGCCATTTCCTTCTCCAGCTCATTTTACAGAAGAGGAAACTGAGGCAAACAGGGTGAAGTGACTTGCCTAGGGTCACACAGCTAGGAAGTGTCTAAGGTCATATTTGAACTCAGGAAGATAAGTCTTCCTGACTCCAGTCTCAGCAATCTATCCACTGTGCCACCTAGCTACCCCTACTGAGTTTGTTTTCTCTGTTAATTTCAGTCCCCTACTAGAACCTCTTCCAGAGTCCCCTAATCGTAACTAACAATACTGCCACTAGTCCATCACAAAGCTCTCAATGTTTTGTCTACCAGCCACATCGTTTTGTCTATAATCTAACAATTCTAAAAAACAGACTTTTATCATTCCAAGTCAGTCAAATCCAATGTAGCCACATTTCTGTCTGAACCATGGTGCTAGCATGAGCCTCATCTAGCCCTCCTTTAATTCCTTCTACTTAAGCAAATAGTAATACCTTCCCACATAATAAATGTTATATAACATAGATATATTTGTTTTATACAATAATATCTAATAATCAATCCCAACTTCAAATCCTGTCTCAGATACTCACTAGTTTATGATCTTGGGCAAGTCATAGCCTCTTTGCCTCAGTTTCCTCTTCTAATAATAAAAGCTAGCATTTATATAGTGCTTTAAGGCTTGCAAATCACTTTACAAATATCTCATTTTATCCTCACCACAATCCTGGAGGTAGATGATGTTATTATTCCCATCTTACAGATGAAAAAACTGAATTAGAGGCTAAGTGATCACTAGCTTCTTGTTTTCAGTCATGTCTGACTCTTCGTGATCCCATTTGGGGTTTTCTTGGCAAAGAGACTGGAGTGGGTTGCCATTTCCTTCCCAGTTCATTTTACAGATGGAGAAACTGAGGCAAACAGGGTTAAGTGGCTTGCCGAGGGTTACACAGCTAGTAAGTGTCTGAGGCCAGATTTGAAGTCAGGTCTTCCAGACTCCAAGTCTAGCATTCTATCAACTACACTATCAAATGTGCATAAAATAGCACCTATCTCCCAGGGTTGTAGTAAAAACCAAATGAGAGAATAAATCTAAAGTATTTTTCAAACCTTAAAGTGCTATATAAATACAAGTTTATTATTTTTATTATTAATCGTTAATTAATTAATGATTAATTATATGTTGGAATTGTAGCAATGAAAGGCTGCCCAGCGACATCAGGACAACCTGACTTCAAATCTCACTTCTGATGCTAGCTGCCTGTCCAAAGGCAAGTTTGGCCTCTCTGGGCTTTAATTTCCTCATTTGCTCATGGGGTTGTTGTGAGACTTCAGTGAGATGATATATGTAAAGCTCTTTGCAAACCTTAAAGCCTTTTATAAATGTCAGTTATTAGCAACATTAGTATAAAATTTTACAATTGTGGACATTTGGTTTCCTTCACTCTTAACACTGCCATTATCTGTGTCTCTCTTCTGGACTTCCAGCTGGTAGTGAGCTGTCCTCTTCCTTCTGGACAAGTTGAGTTATTCCCAGCCCACCCCTACCCTCCCCACAGGCCACGGGACACAGGCCACAAGCCACAGGCCACAATTGGAAATGTTATGTCCCTCTTAACATCATTTTTCACAGACCACACCTTTAGCCTCCCAAAGTACTTCAGGGAAGGGCCCAGTTTGGCTGCTCTTTTGAATTCAGTAAGTTGGAAGAATGTTTGTCACATGGCATGTCTGCCTTCTAATCAAGATAGGAAGGTGTAGGTCAGGACCAGAGAGTGGGACACTGGGAGACTTAGAGGATTGGGGAGGTGGGGGAGGGGGTGTTGAGGATGAGGGGATGGAACTCCAGGGCTGAAAGCACAGCCCAACATTCTGTAAAAGGATATAAAAAGAGAGCTCAGGGACTGGGCAGGGGAGGCAGGGAACCAGGTCTGGCCCTCCACCTATAAGGCAATTTCTATCTCTCTAGGGAAAAGTCCTCCCTGGAAGGAAAAAAAAAAACAAAACCCAGGGATAGTTAGCCTGCAGGTAGACATTCACTCACCCTTTTCACAAGGAAGCCTTCCTTTAGCACTCCACCTTCTTGCTCCATCCTCGGTGAGAGACGAGCTACAGCTTGTGCTGCCAGGTGAAGCCAGCAGTTAAAAGGGCTCCACCCTCTATGGCTCAAAGACCTCGCCTCCGCAGGCAGACTTCCGCCTTCTCCTCTGCTTCCCAGATCTCCTACCTTTGTCTCCTCCTTTTCCTCTGATATTTCAGATTCTCCTTCTTCCTGCCTTTCCCCTTTTGTGAATTAGGCACTGTATTAGTAAGTAGGTGAATTACGCAGGGTTGCTTCCAGGGAACACCCCCTTGAGACTTCCTCTGAAAAACCGCCTTCCTGGCTAGTGCCAGTCCCTAAATCCGGTCAGTGCCTGCGCCTGACTCACTTAGGGCAGGACCCCTTGGACTTTGATATCATCTACATCACTTTAGTTACTTAAGTTAGTTAAGCCATTCCAGAGAGACAGAGATGCAGGTTGGGGGATGAGAGGAGGCAGATTGCCAGACCTGGAATTCGGGCAGTTTTCTTTCAAGTGCAATGATTCCCAAAACTTAAATTTGTTGAATTTTGAACTACAACCCATTTCCTCTTCAAAGTGCTGTAGAATAGATGGGAAGGTACGGGTATAGAAATGTTGCATACACTGTCAAACTCTTTTGACTGAGACTCCATTCTCTGAACCGTTTCCCATCCTACCCCCCTTCCTTTTTCATTCTTTGTTACTAGAGATGGCTTGCTGGGTAGGTGAGTGGAAGGGACCTAACGGGGTTTTGCAGTTCAATATAAAGAATACTGGATTTGTAGTCAGAACCCCAAGCTTCAAATTTTACTTATGTTACAAATACCCAAATAATATTTATTTGACTACCAGCTAGGAATAAGCAAAGATTGTCAGACATTGGGAATGCCTGGTGACTGTGCTTTGAATTAATTACTTCCCAAGGATATAGAGCTAGAAGAAGTCCTATATAGAGTCCAATCCACTCACGTTTTGGTAGAGAAACAGCCTCAGAGCAAAATACCAGAAGCCCCAAAGGTAACAGTAAATAGCAATAGTCAACCAACAAGCATTTATTAAGCACAAAACAAAATGAAAAAGTTCCTGCCCTCAAGGAATTTATATTTAATTTATGGAATGGGTCAGGACAGGACCTGTGATTACTTTGGTATACAGAATTCTCAGTGAGGTAATTGCCTTGGGGCACTGAGGTGTAAGGTGATTTGCCCAGGATCATATAACCAGTGTGTGTCAGAGGAAAGACTGGAAGCCACTATGATACTCTATCAGTAATGACTTAAATTTATATAGCTCTTTGAGGTTTACAAAGAGCTTTGCTTACATTCATCTTATTTGATCCTCAGAACAACCCTGTGAGGTTATCCCCGTTTTATAGATTGAGGAAACAGGATCAGAGAGGTGACTTATCTTTTCTAAGCATTCAAACCCAGATCTTTTCGACTCAAGTCCAGCACTTTATCTACTATGCCAAGTTGCTTCAGAAAGTATTGCAAATAAGGGACTGACCAAAGAGGGCTCAGCTCTGGAAGCATGCAAAGGAGATGACTCTAGTGGATGTTTGAAAGGGATCCAGTACTCCTGACTTTTCAAAGTCCATAAGGTTGTAGCCTAGTACATTATGTTTCCAATACTCCTTCACCTAAGAGTAGCAAAGAACAGAAACAATAAAGGCAAGAAGGACAGGGAGGACGAGGAGGAGGAAGAGGAGGAAGAGAGAGAGAGAAAGAGAGAAAGAGAAAAGGAGAAGAAGAAGAAAAAGAAGGAAGAAAAGGAGGAGGAGGAGGAAGAAGAAGAAGAGAAAAAGAAAGACTGAGACCTATTGAAAACCTGCTAATGATTTTTGAACACTCAATTCCTGCTCAATTGCCAGCTGAAAAGCCTTTTCATCACCATGTGGAAAGCAGACCTGAAAGAGTCAGAGATATCTGCATATGCTCTGAAATGGAGAGCTAGGCTCCTCCATTCCATATCATCATAAATATCTAGAAGCAGTCTCTCGAACAGTCAAATAGGTCCCCCATGTATACTCCCAGGGCTGAACTCTCATTGGCCAGCCCCCCATTACTGTATGTTTTGAGGTAAGAGGTTTCCCCTACTTCAGGTCTAAGGTCAGAGTATCCATGCAACTCTAATCTTATTAATTCCTTCACTAACAAGGTCTTTCTTCTGAGACACAAATACCCTCCTCTTTCCCAAGAAAGTTACAGGACAAACCCAAATTCCTATAATCATGAATTCTGGTTTTATTCCAGATTGTTTCCTATTTTCTCAAGGTGTATTACAAAATTCTTGGCCTTTATAATTTGGAAATGAATATACAACCTAAAGTACTTAAATTTTTTATTATATTTTTATATCACTCCCATGTCTCAATATCTGACAAAATAATTTTACTTTTAATTTTAATTTACATTGCAAACAATTTCTCCATCACTTTCTTAAGTTTAGAAATCAGCAAAACAATAAGTCAAGCCCTGGACATTAGTGTTTGCCAATTTCCAAGGTGTAAATGCTCACACTGGAAATTTAACAATAGGTCCCCTTTCTCTAGTTCAAACAGGCTCCAGCACATACCTGCATGTAGTCCTTATTTACCCAAGACTCAATCAGGACCTATTAATCTTACTTCTTATCTCAGGAAGCTAGAACAAAGAATGTTTCAGTAGCATACAAAGGATGGGAATGGGCAAGGTAATCTCTGAGCTCTGCTCTCTACTGAAAGCAAAAGGACTCTCTAAGATAGCAAAAAGGAGACTGTGCTGGTCGTAATGACACTTCTTGAATGAATTTAGTCTCCATCAGCCCCTATCTGCTTGCAAATGGGAGAGAAAGAATTCCTTTATCTTAAGCTGCCATACATGGAACATTCCTTTCATTCCAGGGAAGGTTCTTTGCCTAGAGAAGTGGATGAAGTAGCGTTCACTAATATGGTTATGGCCTGGTCCAGGCACTTATCACCTGTACTATTGCCAATAGCCTCCCAATTGACCTCTCCTTTTCCATCCAGCATCTATACAGCTGCCAAAGTGATCTTCCTCACTTCAAACCTATGATTTCCTAGACTACCCCACCTCCACCCCAGCAGCCTTCACAGGCTGGCAATGCTTCTTCCCCAAGACTTCCTCCTCCAGTCGGTTAATTCCTTCCCAGAAGCTCCATTTGAGGAAGTATACAGGCAAATCACACTCACTTCAATTCTAACTCTACCCATAACTGCTCTCGATGACTTCTCCACCTTCCGTCCCATCTCTACATTTTTCAGCTCCATTTTATGTGTTATTTTCCCCATTGGAATGTAAGCTCCTTGTGGGCAGGAACTGTCTTTCTTTTTGTTTGTGCTTATATTCCCAGTGCTTAGAATGGTACCCGGCACATAGTATGCACTTAATAAAAACTTGCTTGCTATGTCTGTCTATCTATCTATCTATCTATCTATCTATCTATCTATCTATCTATCTATCTATCTATCTA